TTTGCTTACCATAATAATCCCCTGGTCCATCCATGCTGTTGCAAAGGGTAAGAGTTCCTTCTGTTTTTCAGACATGAAGTATTCTAGTGTGTAAATGTACCGCAGCTTTTTTTTAATCCACTAATCTACTGATGGGCTCTTGGGCTGGTTCCAGATCTTCGCTATTGTAACTGACGCTGATATGAACTTAGTGTGCATGTGTTCTTTCTGATTGGTGTTTCTAGATTCTTACAATATATTCATAGAAGTAGGATGGTTAGGTCAACAGGCAGTTTCTTTTTCTTTTCTTTTCTTTTCTTTTTTTTTTTTTTTGAGGAAACTGCACTGTTTTCCACAGAGGCTGCACCAGTCTGCATTCCCACCAGCTATGCAGTAGGGTTCCCTTTTCTCTGCAACCTCGCCAGCACTTGTTTGTTGTGTTAGTGATTGTAGCCACTCCGGCAGGAGTGGGATGATAGCTCATTGTAGCAAAAGTAGAATCTTAATTCCTGGTGACACTGAGTTTGACCCTGCTTCAGGGCTTCATTCCCACAGGCCCTTTGGCTGGGTGACCTCAGAGACTCACTTGTATCCCTTCAAGATCACAGCATTCCCAGAGACATGAACAAAGAGAGCTCCTTGGATAACAACCCCATGGAGGGCTCCCAGGATTCAGAGGAGACATGCGAGGTGAGGAGCCTGGGGGGTCTCAAGAAGTGACTGGGGCACAGGACAGGGTGACCACATTTCTGAGATCATGAGGTCAGAGGCAGTGACACAGGGAGCACGGTGTGGGGTGGGCGAGATCCCGAGTCTCAGGAGCTTCCCACCGTCACTCAGAACTTGCCTAGCATCCATGAAGGAAACAAGGCCTGTGACCTTGGCTGCACTTGGTGACTCACGGTCCATTCTGGAAGGTGAGAGGACAGCCCACCAGCAGCATGAAGCACCTGCTGCAAGCAGGGGAGAGGCTGAGCCATGTTTCCCTTGTTCTGTCAGTTCACTGTGACATCAACCAGGAGGAACTGTTAGCTCCAGTGTACAGGTCCAACACAGGTTCTGCAGCGCAGAAGAGGGCAGGCCAAAGGGCAAACATGTTTTCCCTGAGCGGCTGCAGGGATTCATTATTTTTTTCTTTTCCTAGATGTTCAAGGATGTTCCCAAATGCGTGTCTGAGGAAGAGTGGACAAAACTGGAAAATGCAGATGAATTAAGCTATGTGTACATGAAGAAAAGATACGACTTTATGACTGCTCTAGGTAACAGGCTGACCTGGGAACACAAGACCATCCCTCTTTCCCTTTACATATCGTGGTTCCTTCTTCGGTTCAACTAAATTTACCCCATTTCGTTTGTGCGGGGAGAATTCCCTGAGCAGCTTCAGAACCTTCTTTTCTGTTGGATCCTGAACAGGGCTCAAGGTCAGGAGTGGCCACAGAGATGCTCAGACCTGGAACCTGCACTTTTCACTCCCACTGGCCCTTGTTCGCATCCCTCCACCTCCTGGCCTTTCCTGTCCCTGCTGCCTCCCTGCATCCACCCTCTTCTCAGGTTGTCTCTTAAGCAACAACTATTTTGCTTCTCCTAGGTCTCATGCCCATCGGCCCAAATTTCATGCCTCCGACTAATCCAAACCCAAACTCTCCTGAGCATGGACCTCAGAATCCTGGGAGTCATGGTGAGTGACAGGAAAGTCCTGGAAATTATCCCTGAAGCCAGATTTATTCCAGATTTATTCGGGGTTCAGCAGCTCAGAAAAGATTCTCAGGGGTTTCTTGCCTAAACGGATCACTGGCAAGTAAAGAATGTTGGATGCAGAAGGTTAAGTACAGTCAGTTCAGTGGTGATTCGTATAAAATCCTAAGACTTGCAAAAGAACAATATGTTTTTATAGATAATAGGTCAATGGTAATTATATCAAAACCTGAATGTGAATAAAACATCAAATTCAGGAGTCAAGAAGTGCAGAAGGAGGAACAGCAGGGATCGGTGAGGGCTGCACGGATGCCGTCAACTGTGTTGTGTTTTGGATGAAGGATCTCTGAACCCTGTGAAGCGGATGTGCACTAGTGTTGTGATCTGACTGGACACAGTGGGAGGTGGGCACATGTTTCTCACAAAGTCCTCAGTAGTTTTCTGGAGTTTGAACCATTTCTTTATTTAAAAGAGTTAATGTTCTTGCCAAACACCCTTATGAGCCACAGGAAAATTAAGAAAATTTTGATTAAAGTCTAAATCCTACAAAAACATCCCAAGTCAGTTTTAGAACAGCATTGGGATAGCTTAAGATAAACACCTTAAGAGACCAAAAAAACCGATTAAGATACTTTGTAATGACACTCACATATAGTTTTACAAAACAGAATGGTCTTCTCACTCCTAACTGAACCTGATTCTATATATTGATTTGGGAGAGTGTTAGAGATAGCAATGCGTGTTAGAGATAGCAAATGCCACACACACACCAAGGTTTCCTAGTGGTCAGTAAGCAGAAGCCACAGGGGGTGAAAGAAGCCACAAATTCAAAAAAGCTCGGCCTATGTGAGCAGTGTGTTTACTCACTGTGAAGAAGGTGGATATGTTCACTTGCTCTTCTGCGTGGACAGCCGAGTTGCAAGAAGACAGGGTCAGAATGCTCACACTGTTTCCAATAGACCTAGGACCCCCACCTCCACGAGCTCCCAAGATCAATGTCAGGGGGCTGAAAATCCAGTACACAGTTTTTGACCTTAGAGGAGGCTTTTTATAGTGGAAGCCTTGCAGAACCACTGCGCTAAATCATACCTGGGTCATCACACAATGAACGACTTCATTCAGGTATAATTGGCATACTATAAAATTCACCCATTTTGAGTATACAGTGAATTCTAGTTGCCACGCATCGTTAAGTGGAGACAGTTCAAGTTCCCAACAAATCAATTTAATTCTTTGGGGGAATATGTAAGATGTATGTCATGGAATAGGATGAGACAGTGGTGGAGTTTAGTTCAAGTTTTTAAACCATCAGAGAGAATGTTATGAATTAATCCTATGCACAAATGTACAATCTATAGTAATAACCATCAGAAACCAGTTCCAAAAATAACCCCTGATGGTGAGTGCATTGATGCCATCTGCTGCAGATTTCCCTGATACTTCAGGAGTCTCCCAGGATGTGGGGAACGTTTACCCACGAAGACCATCTCTGCTTTATCACCTATTTACGAAGGAAAGTCCTGAGGAGGCTTCCCACGTCCAACCAAGAAAACACCTGAAGGTATCTCTCGAATCTGAAGGTCCTTGCTCGCTACACGGCTGTAAATATGGTATGAGTAGAATAGTGTGACAGCCGGCATGTCTTTCATCTTCATAGTGATGCCGGATGTTATTTTAAGCACTTTAGATGGATTCAGTTACTTAAGTCGTAAGAAACCATTTATCACTAGTGTTACTACTATTATATACAAAATAATTGTGTGGATATTAATAACAATGATAGCACATAATAATGATAATAATGAAGAGGCTGGTTTGCAGAGATACTTCATAATTTCCCACAGACCACAGAGGCAGTGACAGTAGTACAATCCAAAGCCCCAGCCCATTCCTAAGCTCCTAAAGGTTTTCATATGTTTATGAAGTTTCCATTGTCTTCATAGGGGTTTTTCTACTGCCGCTCCCTCCTCCCGCGCCCCCCCCCCTGCTGCTGATCCTTCCATTTACACATCCACTCTCACAACAGAAAGTACCAGGCCCTCTTTGCTGTCACAGGGCCACTCTCCATATCTGAGGAACCCCTTAGACTGTGAGTCCCTCACTACCATGAGCTCCTTCAGGCCTTATCTGGGCCTGAGGCAACTCTGAAGCCTCAATCCCAGCCCAGAGAGCCTCAGAGGTGCCTAAATTTGCATTGAATACTTGAGTCCACAATTGCAGATGAAGCTAGTTGAGATGGTAAAGGGATCTAGGGGTTGGGCTGCCAGTCTGGAGACAGTTGAGAAGGGAATTGAAAGATCACAAGAGAAAGTATTCCTTTCCATTGATTCCACACAAACCACTTTCACTTCCCTTGTTTTACATTTCTTATTCACTCTTTCCTAAAGGAAGGAGCCTGATGAAAAGTACATGAAAGCTGATGGTCATGACACCACCTGACAGCAGCAGAGTTGATGTGGGAACCACCTCCTTAATTCCATTATACCAGTAAATGATGGTGCCAGGGTTGGACAGTATGTCACATCTGGCACACCGTTCTTGTCTGTGTATCATCATTTCTGTGTAGCATTCCTTTAGTCCCCCCGCCAATATTAACCTCCCCACACCATTTTCAAGCAGTTTTTTGTCCCCCCCCCAAACTCTTTTTAAATTTTTACCTTTATTGTAGAAACAATTACAGATGTCCCACCTTTCTCCCCCCTCAATGATCCCCTCCACCTTAATACCACCTTCCTCGGCCTTCACTGCACTATTGTCTATGTCCACAGGCTATACATACATGCATATAATTTCTCCTTTAATCACTACTTACCCCCTTCCCGCTGGGATTCCTCAGTCTGTGCTATGCTTCCATGTCTCTGGATCTATTTTGTAAGTCAATTTATTTTGTTCATTAGATTTCACATAAGGGAGATCATGTGATACTTGTCTTTCTCTGACTGATTTATTTCGCTTAGCATAATACTTTTCAAGTTTCTCAATGCAGTCTCAAAGGGTAAGAGATTCTTATTTTTTTTCAGCGGCATAATATTCCATTGTTAAATGTTCCACTGATTTTTTTTTAATCCACTCATCTACTGATGGGCACTTGGGCTGTTACCAGATCTTAGCTATTGTAAATAATGTTGCTATAAACAGAGGGGTGCATACATTCTTTCTGATTGGAGTTTCAGAATTCTTAGGGTATATTCCTAGAAGTGGGGTCACTGGCAGTTCCATTTTTAAATTTTGAGGAAACTCCATACTGTTTATCATAGTGGCTGCACCAGTCTGCATTCCAACCAGCAGTGTACTAGGGTTCCCTTTTCTCCACATCCTCACTAACACTTGTTTGTTGATGTTTTTGATGGCAGCCATTCTGGCAAGTGTGAGGTGAAACCTCATTGTCGTTTTAATTTGCATCCCTCTTATGATTAGTGACTGAGCATTTTTTCATATGTCTCCTGGCCATCTGTATGTCCTCTGTGGAGAAGTGTCTCTTTACGTGCTTTGGCCTTTTTAAAAAATATATTTTATTGATTTCAGAGATGAAGGGAGAGGGAAACAGAGATAAGAACATCAATGATGAGAGAGAATCATTGATCGGCTGCCTCCTGCACACCCCACACTGGGGATTGAGCCCGCAACCTGGGCATGTGCCCTGACTGGGAATCAAACCTTGACCTTCTGGTTCATAGATCGACACTCAACCACTGAGCGACGCTGGCTGGGTTCATTTTTAAATTGTATTGTTTGTCTTCCTTTGTTAACTTATATGAGTTCTTTATATATTTTAGAAATTAAGCCCTTATCAGATATACATATTGGCAAATATGTATATGTATATGTTGATGGTTTCCTTTTCTGTGAGAAAACTACATTTACTATCCCAGCAGGTGTCTACTCTTTTATATATGGTCACCTTTATTGGTTAGAAGCTCTTCATTGCTTTCATAGACATCGTGGATTTTTACAATGCTGTTGTTCCGAAAATGTTCTTTATACCACACTCACGCTTACGTGGAGACTTCTGCTATTTGCCAGAACATGAGTCTGGAAATAGCAAGGAGCCAAGTGTTCTAGTCCTCAAAACACCCTCATTTAGGCCATTCCATTTCCTTCTAACTGCCCAGGTTCCCCACCATTGAGGTACCGGTCATATACTACCCCAGAGTTGTAGAGAGAATGTTCATTAAAATACTGCACGTGAAGACACTTTATACATTGAAAGCACCAGAGAAATGCCTCTGATAGTGTTTGTATGTGACCTTCACATGAGACAGATGGTGCCCGTGAAAGAAGCAAGGGAACAAAATAAACTGAAGCTACCACCAGTAACCCCAGACTCAGAGCCAGCTCCGAAAAAGCTCTGCCCCTCAGGCAAAGGGAAGGCCTCTGGTCAGCTGAGGAAGAAGAAGCCTGGTAAGGAGGGGGGCGGGCACAACGCCTCTGGCCTCACTGGCAAGGGAGCTGGGTCCTGAACAGGCCTGGGTCCAGGTTGGACTTTGGAGCTTGTTCAGCTCCAGCTGAGACCTGAGAACAGGACTTCCAAAGTCACAGGTTGACTTGTCAGCGGCATAAGATG